TACATTTACTAGATCAAAATTCTGGTGCAGGTCAAGAGCAACAGCAACATTCCTAGCAACTGACAAATGTGTAGTGGACCTTATGAAAGAAGCTGGTAGTTTCAGTCCATTTCCTGATTGATGGACAGGTGTCTACAACACACACAAGTCACCACAACTGGCACTCCAAAGGATCTCAGCCAGACCAAGGACTGTGAGATGCTCTGAACTGTAAAGTGCAAAGCTCAGAGACCTCTGTAACCCAGACTTACTTGAATCAACTTCCCCACAAAAATGGAGCACGTGAGCAAATCCACTGTTGCCTCTGGCAATGTATTTCAGCAATTACTTACCCTCACAGTTAAAGCCTTGCTTACTTCCAGTCTTAATCTGTGTGACATTGTTTGTCAGCCACACATATCACGCTGTTCTCTAAGGCGGGCTCTCTGCATGGGGACCCACAGACTGTCATCAGACCATCCCTGCCTCTCTTTGTGGACAATACCTCTCTGGGACAAGGGCTTGAATGGCTGTCTGACCAGAAGAACTTCTAGCACCCCTTCCTCCCCCGCTAGTCCTGCTGTACTCCTTCCTGCATTACACACAGCAACTGCTGCCCAATGCACTGGAGGAAGCATTCTTGCTTTTGCCAGTATTTAAGCATGTGTATGTATGTGTGTGGTTGGGAGTCGGGGAGGGAAGGGTAAGAGTGAGGATTAAGGATGCTGGAAGTTCAGGTGCTTGGACATAACTGTCCACCACAGCACACACTTTCCAGAATGGGATGCAGCTGTTTTCAAGCAGCTGCACAATCCATACCAACATCCTATTTGGTCTGGGCCCACATTCACCTCTACGTAACATCCCCCAGAACAGGGTCAAACACCTGGAAAACCCACAGAGAAACACTCTTTGCTTCAATCGACCTGCAACCAGATTCTTGTAGGCAAGATTAACAAGATTTGGCTTCACCTCCTTCATTTATATCAACTGGCGCAAAATTTATTAGATTCCAGATCTAAGGCAGCAAAGTAAGACCTTGCTGGTGTCCTTTGAAGCAACAGGGGGAACAATTGCTCAGGATTAGTTAAACATGCTTCTACATTCTCTGTGGGTTCTGACTGACCGCACCAGCTTGGTTAAGATATATGGATATCACAACAGCCAGACCTTTTGGTCTCCAACCCCAAGGGCTATATTTCCTAGCTTTAAAAAGGGAGTTCTACTAAGAGGTCCAAAGTCACTGACAGATATACTATTATTTAAAGCACACTCTGTGAGATAGCTGGTTCCTCATCCACCTTTTAGTGTCTCTCACATTCTGAACAGAGATATTAAAATCTGAACTGAGAAATAGATTAGAAAGCAGGTGGCAAGAAACCTAATTATTGTCCTCTGTATATGGCTTTTGTGTGGATTTATAAAACATCTGTGAGTGTTCCACGGGCAGACGTCCAAAGTGGTCTGAAGGAGCCAACTTGATTCACCAGGGCTATTGCCCCTTGGCCTCTGCAGAAACACACATGATGCTGTTGGACACCACCCTTACTCAAGGGGTGAATTCTATGCATCTGAAATAACAAACCTTGTTCCACATGGCATGCAGTACTTTCTCTTGGACATGCCACCAGTTACCTATAGTTTTTTCTGATGGGAGTTATAAATGTGCATCTTTAAATTACAAAGTGCTTACCTAAGTGGTTAAGATCCTGTGTAAGAATGGTGTATTTCATTGGAATGAGCCTTAGGATGCCTCTTTAACTATAGATTAATTGCAGGCTTGGTTTCATTAGAGGACAAATTTCCTGGAAACAGTTTATACAAAAAGAACTAAGGGGCAATATTGCAATATAGTTCAGGACAGATTTTGGCAAATTCCTGTCGGTCTAAATAGCTTGAAGTCTTACAAAACAATTCTATGTCTTGTATTTAATGCAGTCTGCCAATGTCTAAAGGTATAAAAAGTCTTAGAATCCAATTGATTTTTAAACCTACTTTTTCCAGTTATTCCAGCATGAAAGTATGCAATAACTTCCTAAGGCCAATTATGAGCCCCCCATAAATCAGACATGGTGATTTGTAAATGATCATTGAGATAGTGTCTGAAACCAAATTTCAGTATGAAAACATTCTTCTTTTTTTTTTAATTCTCAACAGGCACACACTATGAAACCTAAACCAATATAACAAATATTTTTTTGTGAAACTCTTCAATCATTTTCTAGTAAGTTGGTAAGCTATGAGAAACTAAAGCAACATACATCCAAATACTGCTGTATATTAAGCACAGAGGAAAGCACACTTTAAAAGGCACTGTGAATATTTTAAACACAATCAAGTAAAAATGGTGTGTAACAATGGGGCAATGTTGTAAGCTACTGAAGTGGAAAATAATTTTACAATTTGTAGCAAGTTGGTGTTCACCACATACACTGACATTTGCTTTTATTTCTTGAGTATTGCATCATTGAGTATAGACAATGAAGCCAAGTTAGTAATTTTCATTGTCTACCCACTACTACCAGCTTTAAGTACTGTATCAGAAGTATTACTGCATCAAAACAGTCATTACTGAAACTTCAAAATCTGACAAGCAAGATGTGGGTAATTCGTAAATACCTCTTTGAGAGCTAAGGTATGCATACATATTTGTTCCAGACAGAAAAAAAAAGGCCAAATTCTCTTTGACAACATGTTACTACAACGCTGTTGGGTTTTCAGTATCTAAAAACACTTACCTTCCATAGCTTGCAAAGAAAGCTTTGTTTAATGAAATATCTGCAGCATTTCCTATAGGTTGACTAGGAAATACTTGAGATAAAATATTGTCAGTAAAAGACAAATGCAACTACTGCAGTCCAAGAGAATGCAGCTTTTTACAGTTGATCCACATTCACATAAACACACACACAAAACAGGGAACCTCAGGCAAAAAAAGATTCTCACACCACTGCAATTCCATGTTTAAAGGTCTGAATAACATCAGACCGATTTCTGAACACAAATGTAAGCCCTCACTTTCCAAGAGTGAAATCCAGGGGGAAAGGAGAAGAGGGGGACACATAAGGAAAGCATTCCCATTTCATTTCAGTGGACTTGAGAACAAGTTCCAAGCACAGTGTGGATACACAAGCTGAAAATAAACCTACCTGTAAGGTGGCAAAGATGTAAATAACAAATGAAGTAACACAATTTAATGCATGTTTTCTAGACCTTGTTCCTAAACAGAGGCATTTATTTGCAAGCAAGCAATGCAGTAAGACCACGAATGATAAAGTAATTACTAATCAGCTCAGTGCCCAAACAAATGGACCTTGCAATCCTTCCACTACTTTTGGAACTGCAGAAAAGTTTTAACAGTTGTTTTCCAGATCACCAGCACATAAAGGAGTATATTGCACGCTGAGAAAATAGAAGGCACAGTTGGGAAAACAGCATTCTTTTAGATGCAGGGGTGAATAAAGCAAGTCCATCCTCCATCAGCCACTACTTGTTCCCATGCCACTGTAACTTTTGAGACACTATTGCAAATCAGATCGGGAACAGATCTGGCTAAATATAACCCTTCATGTCTTTTGTGGGGGTAGCTAGAGGAAGAAATGGTGACGTGGTTACATTTAACCCGCAAAAAAGCTCCCAGATCTATTTACCATGCAGCCCCACAAACAGATGCACCACCACAAGCAAGGAGGTGGCCTGTGGGCTGCCAAAACTACCACCACCACCAGAAACTGGCCTGACGCCACAGCTGATCTGTGCCACAATTAGTCTTCCTATTTTTCTAATCATGATAATAAAACAAAGCAAGCTTCTATCAATTTTAGAGAACAGCAACCTAGCAGAAATATTACATCTCCCTTACTCAGTACAACTGTTTCTCTCTTCCACTAAGAGCACTCTTGAAACTCAGTATGTTTCAGACTTAACAAGCATCAGGCACAAAGAAGTCAAATGGACAGTACAATAAAGTCAAGAGCTAAAGCTCTGCTTCAGCACACTTCTCAGTTCAAGGCCAACCCCAAATTCACCATTAACTTGATCTTGGTTTTCATCATGACATACTAGGGACATCCTTTGTTCAGCTAACCTATTGACTTGCCTGGGAGAGGTGGAAATTCTGTAATATAAGGACTGAATTCAGTAGAGGCTTTTTACATGAAGAGAATGAAAAGCAGAGATTCCCAGCAGCCTCTGAGGGGCAACACCAGCAACTGCCTTACCGACTATTTGGCCATATTTCGTGAAAAGTGGAATGCAGAAAAGGAACAACTTTAAGAGGACAACAGTTCCCAACATACATCAAACAGCAGAATTTTAAGGTGCAGCAAAGCCCAGCCAACCTCCCCTCCTTCCAAGGTAAGCTGACATAAAGAAGAAAGCACAACACAGGAGGTGTGCAGCCTGATCCCAGCTCTTTCACTGCTCAAGATGACAGAGCAAGTCAAGTCATTTCGGCTCTTCAGATCAAGTTCCCTTCAGTAAAATGGGGAATAAGACATCATGTTAAAGTGTTGGAGACCTACAGATGCTCTGCTATATTAGATGTATTATATGAGGGAGCACTGGTTCCTCCCACACCCCAAGCCTAAGTAAGGCTATTTTACACAGAAAAGGACTGCAAACTTCTTGCACAACCATCTGCTTCTATAAGGTTCAAGAAAAGGCCCAAGTACAAAGGAGGATTAGTAGTGGGGAGTGGGGAGAAGGAATGTTGTTTATGTGATGCTTGAACTCCACACAGAAGGAAACTTACCTTTACTATTAAATAAATAACACAATCCCATTATTGTGTTATATTGATTGAAACTGTAATTGTCTCTTCCTTTGTCATTTAGATTTCTTGTATAACAGCAGCAACAACAAAATCTGTGACTTGATCCCAAAACTACAGCTGTCAAACGTTTTCACAAGTAAATCAGTCTCAAAACAACAATTGTACAGAACAAGAAATTAACCCCAAGATGACTCTAAGAGTCACCTGCAAAGTAAGGATTTACCATGGAGTCCCCCACACCTCTTACCTCGAGCATAGGGCGGGCACTGTCGTGGATTGAAAGAATGTGCGTAATGTTATTCTTACTCAATTGCTCTACATCTCGGGCATCTGTGGTCAAGGGAAAAAAGGAAGAGAATTTCTTTAATCTCTTGAAATAGCCCACTCCCCTTTCCATGGTGCATGTTGAAAATCACTTATCATTGGTAGATTTCTTTTTGAAGCTTCATAAAGTAAAGACAAAACTCCAAATGCAGCTGTTCTAGAACACCATCATCAGAGCGGGTAACGGGAAGACACACTTCTAAGTCCAAAACAAATTATATACTATATAAAGAACAAGCTTAAGTGACTCAGGAATGTGTTCTTAAGTCAGAAGTTTCATGTATTTTGCATCTGAAATATAAGTCTGTGTATGCCTGTGTGCAGGTGATGGCCATCTGAACAAGCAGTCAGAGCTGTACAAGAAATAGCTTACCTCCTCTCTACCCACAAATCCCCCTTGAGAAGGTATATTTTTCACTTGGGAGATAGACCTTGTGATATCCAGGTCTGAGAAATGAAGCCAACCATATCACTTGAATTGAGGTATTAACGGGCAAGTCAAAATGAGAACTAGTCCCGTGGACTTATAGGGAAAAAATGTGCATTTTGCCAATATATACCATAATTTTAAGTCTGAAGAGAGACATTATAAAGATAACAAATGTATGAGAAAGCAAAACATTACAGCAAGGAAATGCAGTTGTGAAAAGGTGGTTCCTAGACCTGTAACCAAGGGTTTTCAAACATTCAAAACTGGAAAGCAAGCTGGGGCAACTGAAAATTTGATGCTAGATATGCAAAAGCATAGGTTTGTTTCTATGAAAAAGAAGGTAAAATAGATTATCTGTCATCAGCAAGCAACTTGTCCCACACTAAACTATTCGCATGCCAGAAAATTACCTCAAAGAACCACTAACACAGGTAAAAGTTAGTTTGCGTCCATTTACTTGTGACCTTTTCGTTTGAGAATGGCACAGCACACCATGGCAAATACAGCAGTGGTTTTGTGATGTGAACACCTGCCTTCCAAATCTGCCCATACAATTTGTTCACATTAGCCTGGTTGCACACAAAAAAAAGCACTGACCACAAAGGTTTCAAACCGGCTCTCTCTAGGTACAAAAATAACAATAGCATCACCTGTAGATTCTTTATGTACGTGCAAGAGTTCAATTAGCATCTCTTGCTTCATCTTATTCCACTCTACTATAAAGTTTCAATGCCTTTTCTACATCACAAAGAGGAATTGGACATTTAATTATACTGCCCCATAGAGAAGATCCACATGAGCACAATAACAGGCAATAAAATTTAAACCTAATCCAATTATGAAAGCTTCTCTAAGGAAAATAAAATGGAGAGAAGACTCAAAACTGCATTGATTTCACTTGTTACTGGTCAAGCCTGCACCATCAACACAGATGCCTAATCCTTCAGGAGAGAATTAACACAAATTCCATCTGAAACAGATTTAAGGTCTAGCTTCACAAATTTCCTAAAAATCTCTCGAGTTAGCATTTCAAAGAAGAAAAGCTAATGTTTGCCAGGAGAGGTCTTCTAATCCACCTGACCTTCAGATTTATTAACAGTTTATAGGACAGTTCTGATTCCTCAGAGAGCCTAAGCAGGCAAGAGTTTGGAAGCCCAGAAGCCAGCTTAAGTGTCCCTAAAAATCACTGCTTTGTGATCTCCAAAGGCTAAGAGCAGATTTCAGAGCCTCCTGGCTGGAACTCACGGTCTTAATGCAAACCTAGCACAATGAGACCCCAACCTCTAACTATCAGTATGACCCACATGGTTAAGAGATGGCTTGCCACACAAGGCAAACAGCTTTAAAGGAGATATGATCCAAATTAAATGTTGACTGCTTTGAACCAGTCTGAAAGACCTAATGGACACAGTACAACTCAGACGGACAGTTCTTCAGTTAATCAAGGACTTAGGCTAAAGGAATTACAACAAATTAAAAGTATACAGTCAAACAGTGAGATTTCAAACATTCCTAGAAACAAGCTGGAAATGTCTATCCTACACCTACATCCCAGAGTAACCAGCAGGTCTTCAATATACTTAGGAAACAACCATTCAAAGTACAAAAGCAGAGGAGAAAAAGCTTCCCAGCCAATGACTGCATTATCTGGATCTAAACTTTAAACAGTTTACAAAGGGGAAATTCCCCTGGTTTCCCTGGCACCTGCCACAAGTCTCTACAGATACTACTGACAAAACTATTTTAACAGCAGTACAAATGAGCTACTTTGTCAGTCACAGTGTCATACAATAAATTACCGAAAAAATTCAGGGGTTATGTAAAGGACCAGCAAAAGACAGAAGAATAACCATTACCACAGCAATTCTAACTTCTTTTCTGTAGCACACTGCTGTACAACGACATGTTGTGTTTTCAGGCTCACATTTTGAAATCACAGCGTGAAACACCCTATTTCCAAATGTAAAGATGAAAGAAGCCTATCAGAGTCCATGTTGTGCATTCCTAAAGGGTGTCTCAAATGTAGGGCACTTGCTTCTTCACAGTAAGTTACCCAATATTCTGTTTCATACAGCGTAACGCTTCTCGGCTGACATGGACTTTTGAGTAAAGCCTTCAGGAATCTCTCTCCTCACACAAAAGAGCACAATTCACACTGGATCCCTCACACACCCATATTTAGCTTCTCTTCCCTCAATTTCATCCTCTGACTCCTAGTTTAACCTCTACTCATATGCAGAGAGCTGCAAACATTTAACTGCAAAAGCAATGGCAAAGTCATCAAAACAGGACCGGCGCTGGGGGGGCATCAGAATTTGTTTCCTTGCAGCTCTGGGAAGCCCTACTGTGTGGCTGGGGAGCAAATCACCTAGCATACTGTGCTTCCATCCCCCATATGCAAAAGGGAGACAATACTGGTCCAACCACTCCAATTAAGACACATCAATGACTGAAGGACTCCAAAACTAGGGTGATGAAGCCTCAAACACACGTACAACCATCTTCTCCTACTTTAGTATTCTAGAACCTCCACAGAGATGCAAGGTGAGGAATTGTCCTGGTTCCAGCCAGGATGGAGTTAATTTTCTTCACAGAAGCTAGTGTGAGGCTGTGTTTTGGATTTGGGATGAGAAAATGTTGATAACATGCTGATGTTCTGAGCTGTTGCTAAGCAGTCAAGGACAGTCCAGCTTATCGTGCTGAGCTGCCAGTGAGAAGGCTGGGGGTGCATGGGGAGCTGGGAGGGGACACAGCCAGGACAGCTGACCCAGGCTGGCCAAAGGGATATTCTATACCATATGACATCATGCTCGGTATATAAAGCTGGGACAAAGAAGGAAGGGGTGGAAGGACGTTTGGAGTTATGGCGTCTGTCTTCCCAAGAAACCATTACACGTGATGGAGCCCTGCTTCCCTGGAGATGGCTGAACACCTGCCTGCCCATGGGGAGTGGTGAACAAATTCCTTGTTTTGCTTTGCTTGCGTGCGCGGCTTTTGCTTTACTTATTAAACTGTCTTTACCTCAAACCATGAGTTTCCTCACTTTTACTCTTCTCATTCTCTCCCCTGTCCCACCGTGGGGGAGTGCGTGAGCAGCTGCCTGGTGCTCAGTTGCCGGCTGGGGCTAAACCATGCCAGGAATCAAGATGTCTTGCTTTGTGAAGTTAGATGGGAAGAAACAGCCGTGGAGTCTTTTCCACCTCTACTGCTAACAACGTAATAAAAAGGCATCCTGTCAGGAATGGGGTTGGGGGGGCAGGCATTACAGCGATAAGGGCCTGGATCTGCAACATTTAACTGCAACTCACCTGTGAATTTTGAAGATTAAACATCTCCACAAAGTAAGTGAGATTAAGTTTATTTTCATTTGGTCACATTTCCTCCCATTAGCCAGCTATCCCAAACTAAAGACATCCTCTCTTCTTCCTTCTCCAAAGCCCACATTTCTGACTTTGTTGTTAGTCCAAAAAGCTAGTAAGTATTAAGTTTTCAGCATAAAATTTTAGGTTATGTATACAAAAACAAGGTGAGTCCTTAGAGAAGGCAAGTCAGCCCAGTAAGTACAACAGTATTAAGTCTAAACCTGCAGATGTATAAAGACTACAGTTTCATCATCACCAGATTTTTTCTTTTTTTTTTTTTTTTTAATAAAACAACTTTTTGTCTACACTTTATTTTCTGCTTTGGACAGAACTAGAGATAGACACCTAGAGGAGAACCTCCTCTCCATTGGTTCAGAGCACTACGAGCTATTACTGAGAATGGTTTCTCATCAGCAGAGCTTTGTTCCAGAGTCCAGTGATCCGCACTTAGAGACACACACAGAAACTAAGCACACGAACAAAAACTCCACATCTCCTGTCCCCACTTCACACCATGTTCTAATACATATTTTGCCCCAGGCTCTCAGAGGACCTTTTTGGGGAGTGAGAAAGGTGGGGAAAAGGGTCCAGTACTCTGTTTCGTGAGAATACCTACAAAATGTCTTCCTTCAAAAGATGAACCTGAAAAAGGGAATGGTATCTTCACCTTCTCCAGTTTTAATTACCTGAAAGCAAGCCTTAGAAAAGGTAACTTTTCCCCAAAAAAATTAATCAGCTGATAACAGGAATTAACTAGACCTAGAAACACAGCAGAACCACTTGGTGGGCACTGCCTTTTTATACACTTAGTAACAGGAAGGGCAGAAACTTTCCCAAGACTCTCCAGCTCATCCACAGCAACACTGGACTCTTTGGGGGGAATTAAACCTCACATTGTGGCTTTCCCCTCCAAATCAAAAAGCCCCCAAATATTCCATTGGAAAAACTGGAATCTTCCAAATATGATTACAAGCAAGGAAGGACACAAGCTCTTTAATATTCAAGGTAGAAACATTCTTGAGTCTCTGGTACTCGCTACTGCTACACCTTTCAGTCTGGCACCAAACATTTAGAACCTCATATCAGAAGGAATGGTATTTTTTCTATTTGTGCTGAGAAACAGGCTAAAAAGCCCAGTCTCTTAAGCAACAAAGCACCTATTTTTATTGTGAGCACAGGTGCCTTCCAAGGGACATCAGGTTTCCAGGGCAGAAGACATGCAGGCATGCAATCCCGCAATAAATCCTTTGTCTTTTGAGAGCACTGAATTTCACCTGTAAGGTACAACTGGAACAAACCAAAATTTCCCCCAAACTAAAGGCAGGAAGAAGAGTTAACTTCTTTCTCTTCCCTCGTTTTTCTCTCTTAGCCCCCCATCCTCCCACTGGCAAAGAAGTAACTCCTTAACTTTCACTGAAGAAGCTCAAGAGCTCTGTTTCCTTCTGGGCTTTCAGACCAAACTCAGTATTTTGTATGGACATCTGTGGTTCTTCTTGAATCTTTCTGCCCTCTAGCTGTGCAATCTCAAATACACTCTCTCAGGAACACACCACAACTTCAATGTGCTATTGATGAGCAGAATCACACTTATAAGATAACAAGCACTTAAGCACATGCCGAGATGTATGCTTTTTCAGGAAAGTTTTCCAGAGACATACTCAAGTCCTGTGGACTTAGAGCAGCGGGAGGTTCAGCATGTAGTTCAGTGCTTTCTGTAATTAGGACTACACATAACTTTCTATCCTAAAGACCCTAAAGTGGTTACAAAAGCCCCTCACATTCTATATGCCTAAAGGTTTGCAGAGCAGCTGCAGAAGCAGAAGCAGCAAGCTCAACTTCCATTTCTGCCACAGATTTATTTCACAAGTTTTTCTTGCACCTCAGTTTATCTCCCAGCCAAATGCAGAGGATTTTGCACTTCAGCTGTCATGGATTGTTTTTAAGTTGATTAGGCCTAAAAGGACAGTAAGAAACCCTATACATAAAGTAGAAATATTGCTAAATATTTAATAATAATTCCCCAATCGGAACAATTGCTGAATGCCTTCTCCAGAGAACGGCCCTCCAAGATTACAGTGTTTAACATCTTTAACATCCTGCTTTCACCCAGTAGCCAGGCACCCATCAGGAACAACTGTGTCTCTTCCCAGTCTGTCCATGTCCCCAGAGGTTTCCCATGCAGCAGGGAGACAGGAGTGTGCGTAGAACAGTATTTTGACCTAGCTATGGAAACCCTGCCTGCCCAGGCTCCCTGAAGAGTCACTGGAGAAAGGAGGGGAGGCTATCCTCCAGAGGGCAGGTCAGAGCAATTCAGAGAGATTCCTCTGACCTTCTGGAGAAGCTCCCTCCTCTCTACCTCCTGCACCGAGACCCAGTGGGTGCCACGATGCCTCGAGCCCTCTGCCCAAGTGAGATGCACAACGCCGGGGATTCAGTGTTACCCCTCTTACCGACAAGATGCAACTTTATTCAATTCAAGCTATCAGTCTCAAACTGAAGAAATAGGAGACTGCTCAAAAGTGCATTACAGGAAATAATTTTGTAGACCCATGTCTTTAAAAGTATCTAGACATTTCAGCTGCCCAAATCAGGATACTCTAACCAATCCCAACTGTACACACTGCTGAATATTTTTCAGTCAACGATCCCCTTTATGGCAGTCTCAAAATTCATTAGTCACTTTTTGAAAGTGTGCCACAAATCAGAACATGCCCCAGGAACATGGTAATCAAGCTCCTCCAGAAAAATACACTGGTGATCAACCAACAGCCTGTTCCTAAATGGGATGACTTCACTGCACAGAGAGCTCGATGCAATTGCTCTTAAGTAGCAGGGCAAGGGGGGGTGTTTAACAGCAGGGGATGCAGAATAAGATAGAATTATAAACGTTTGCTTTTGTATTACTGAGGTACTGTAACAACAATCTTCTCTCTTCCTCTCCAGGTACGGTAGCTAATTTGAGACTATAACAACAGATAGTAGAACATGATGATTAAATGAAATGTGAGCAAAGGTCATAGCAATAAACTAACATTTTGTTGGTGGTTTTTATCAATTTAAACAAAATTAGGCTCCATTAACACAGACACTGAGATTAAAGCCAACCCATCCTTACCCTCTTTTATGGAGGTAGCTGAAGCATTTCAGCCTCTGCTTTTTTTCAGCTAGACCCCCAGAAACACTGCCCACTCGCACCACCTTCATCCACACGCCTCTGCGCAGAAGTGACCTGACATGCCATTGAAGGACCATTTGGAAGGCTGAGCGGCCAGAGCAGCACGAGCGAGAGGGTCGCAGGCCCTGGCCTCGGCAGAGATGCTGACTCACTCCGCAACCTTGGCCAACTCCCCTCAGCCGGTCAAACTGTTCATCAGCTGAAAACAGAACTGCACCAAGAAACAGATGCTCTGGCTGAGTTTCGCTCCCCTGGGCGGATTGTCAAGGGCCTACTTGCAGGACGGCCACAGCGAGAGGGACAGACTGAGCGCCATGTTCCCTGGGCCCATCCTGCCCACCCTGCCAGGCAGCTTGAAACCTAAAGGACTCCACTACCAACATCTTCCCATCCCGCCCCTCTCCTAAATTTCTTGACAGGAAAGAAAAAGAAAAAAAAAACCCAAAAACAAAAAGAGGAAGTTGGTTTTGTCACCGGCCCACGCAGTGGTCCACCCAAAGTGTTTTAAAAACTATCCTACTTTCCTGCTTGCTTTCTTTTTTCTCCTTTTACTACCTACTTCCACCAGTATAAACGCACCTCCATCCTCTCATTTTCCTTACCATGGCATGATTAAGTCTCTCACACATACTAGCTGTTGTATTTCTGTTTGCACCCCAGTGTGGCAAAAGGCAGCTTTTAACTTCACATGTACCTCTGGGCTGCCTCTCAAGGTGGTCAGCTCCGCTTCCCAAGGGGCAGCGAGCACTGGACCAGCAACACGGGTCAGCAGGTCCAGAGGCAGGTAGATTGGGCAAAAAAACCTACTGAGCTCACAGGTTTTGGGATGGTGAGGCAGGGAAGGAAGGGTGGGCATGAGGCAGAGAGGAGGTGCAGCACATCTAAATCTAACACAAACGTTGTCCAACCTTAACAGACCAGCAGTGATATCAGACAGATCAGGAAGGACAGGACAGACAGGAAGGCCCCTATGAGTCCTGCTTTGCTGTTGTACCCAAGCATAGGAAATATAAGGTCTACATGTATCAAAACAACTGTACAGGCACAACCAGTTTACTTCTGATTAGGGACACTCAGCTGGAACTGCTGCTAACAGAGTGCTTTGAGAACAGGTCATTTATTTGGATGTCTACATAAAGTTTCCCGTGTTTTCTAAATGTGGTTCTAGCTTTCTGTATACAAAAAAATAAACCTCATGCAAAAAGGAAAAAAAAAAAAATCCAGAGAATCTTACATCTGTGACACGGACAAGCACGAGTATCAGTGTTCAGACAGCAATCTACAGACCTATCAGTCTTGCAAGCAGTGATAACAGAACTCTTTAGCAGTTGTTATAAATAACCAAAATAATGAAAGCAATGAGCGGGAGGCATACTAAGCCTTTACTTATAAGGAGGGCTTGAAATAAGCCTTACAAAGAATCTGCCTGGCTCACAGGCTTGCCTGCCAAGCACAAGAATTGTTTAAGGCAGGCCAATGTTTAGGAATTCCAGCTGAAGCATGCTCCGAGGAGATGGCATTCATTTTTCTTTTCTTAAAGTACTTGCAGCACAGCACAGGGATGAGAGAGCAAACGAGTTCTTCTTTAAGTGCTAGCAACTGAATCCAGAAATGAAGCAAGATGGGGTTAAAGAAGCTGCAGAGATGTCAGTGAATTCCGTAGGCCTGTGAAACACCACCTTAAGACCCCTGCTAAGTAATCCTAGAGATAATGATAAAACTAATCTTACCTTTAAAGTTGCCAATGAACAAGCCAGGCAGAATCTGTGAGAAAGAAATATAGTATCAAATACAGATATCTTGTGGTAAGACAATTTGACAAAGTTCAATTTGCATACAGGATGGAACATACTACTTGAGCAGACTATTGTCAAATGCAATCTAAAAAGTGCTGACAATTTTGTGCCTCTTTGCAACCTTCTCAAACTACACAGCTCTAGGTACGCCACGCTTTGAGAGCATTCGTTGACAGCCAGGGGTTGTTAATCATGCAGACTCTCACATAATGAAGGCTCTCCAAGGAGAGCAAAAGCAGTTTACAAATACAAAGTGGGCCTTGCAACACACCCTTCCCCCTGCCCCCCCCCAGCAGGATGAGAGTTACCCTCACTTAACTAATGATGAAACTTCATACAGAAAAGGGGATTTGCCTAAAGTTGCTAAGCAAGCTGGAAAAAGCACTGCAAAGCAACAGCCTTCAAAGTCTTCTGAAGTGCAAAGCCATGGAAGTCAGGGCTGCAGCACTGTGGGGCTCTCTCTTCAACAGAGGAAATCATTGGAAAAGACGAGTTGTGGATGCACACAGAAAGAGAACGGAATGCTAGTTGGACATGTCTCTCCCAGATCTACCCCCTCACCCCAACACGCCCAGAAGCCTGCACAGGTCTCAGTTACAGGACTTTCTTTAACTGGGGAGTTTCAAGGTCAGTCTGAGGACAACAGGCGAGCACAGATACAGAGAGGCAGGTGACACTGCAGCGCTACTGCTCCTACCCTCTCATAATCCTCCTAACTTGGGAACAGCAGTAAGGACATGAAAAACCCCCAGGCACGTTGAACACACTTTTTTGGCCAAGAATTTTGTTCTCTGCCACCTGAAGTCTCTGACCCACGCCCGCATCCTTTGAAGAGACCAGGACTGTGGTGGTGTGATCCATTTTTCTTCGGTGCATGCAGAGCATACCACCAATACAGATATGTCAGCGCCGACTTCCTAAAGCCTTAGCAACACCCAAGTGTCACCACAACAGCAGCAACAGTCTCTCGGGCACAGCTATTTAAAGGGAAAACTCCACCCACTTTGCTCAGCCCAGCAGCCGCAAAGTTCCGAAAGTCATGAAGGACTTTTCATCGGGGATTATCGCCCCAGCCTTTGCTTCACTGCAGCCTTCCTGATGAAAGGTGACTCACCTTACCACGCAAAGGTTAGCAGGCCGGCAGAAGGGCCTGCAAAATAGCTTTTGATCTGCCTTAACTCCAGGGCTTTCATCCACTAAAAACGTCATGTTCACTGTTATTTATCTAGCCTTGCAGAAAACAGAAAGGCTGCAGCACTTCTCACACTCCCTGGAGCCTTGGTTTGTGTAAACATTCCCCCCTCAGCTTCGCTGGGTGATCTCTCCCTCCCTGCCATGTCACACCAGCTCTAACCGCCGGGCTCAGTTCTGCCACCAGCATTGAAAGACCGTTTCTGTGGGACCCTTGCTGTACCCTGAACTGCTTACAAATTAAGGGCTGCGGGACACCACCAGCTAGACAACAAAGTGTTTCTTTAGTCTCGTACAAGAAGGCACCTGTAAGTTTTGCACAGATAAGCTCAGACAGCTTTCTTCCCTTTCCTTGCCTCTTCATTTTTCATTTGTACAAATTCAACATTCATACAAAGGCAGCAAAAAAACAGCGGGGCAGTTTCCAATGCCAGGGTATCAAGTAGGGAAAAAGAACCCTTACAACGTCCTGCTGTCCCTTTCTGCATGCACATGACTGACGGTTTCATGGACTGATTCATTATTTTAAGCACACTTGATGACTCTGCTAGAAGTGCAGCCCAAAGGCCACCATCTCAGGCTAGGAATCAGAAGCCAGCAGTTGCTCCAGAGAGCAGAGTACCCAAGGGCCATTGCTAAGGGCCAAATTCTGCAAACAAAAAAACATTCTCTAAAGCAAAAGAGAGTCAAGCTATGAGCAAATTTCACCAACCAGATCACCCCAGACAGCTCCCTCAACTTAAGCTCAAAAAAAAAAAATCAAAAAAGCTTTTCTGATATTTGTAAATAGCTGTCTGGTATTTCCTATCTGCAGCACAAACCTCAAATCACACCACCACTACTGTAGATTATAGCATTTTAGACATTACTTCTGCATCAAATATGTGCTCTCAAGAGAAGATAAAAGCTTAAATTCCAGTCACAGTCATTAAGGTCAAACATTATAAATTAAAGATACCAAGAAACACTGCAAAAATGAGGCTTCTTAGACTGTTGTTGGCAAAGGAAGTGAAGTCCAGAAGTTTGTATTTGTGCATCAAGAAGCAATATTGTGTGCTAGGTAGGAAATTAGGACACCATGCAATCAAGGCCAGATGTTACCCCTGTTGTCCTAGTCATTCTAGAAGCAAGAAACATTACTATGGGTGAAAGCTACCTGGAAAGAAGTGAATCTTCATGCCGTGCTGACTAATACTTCAGCACTAGACTACGGCTGGGAACTTTCAGCTGTGTCATCTCACACTGCATTCAGTAACTGCAACTCCAGGCCACACAAAATGAAGGCTGATGGCTGCTAGGGGCGTGTGAGAGAGAAGGGGTGGGAGTCAGAAGAGGAGAAAAATAAGGTGGTTGTTTTTTTCAACCACTGCTTTATGAATAAAAACAGTAGCCTCCTTATATCATCCGAAACATTGAGAAAATGACCACGGACTAAATAACAGATGTAAAGGAGTGCACAACCAAGCGACAAGGTCAGGAACGCCTGTCTTCATTCCCATCTCGCATGAGAACAGCTCATGTTCTCCACCTCGCACAAGGGCAGGGCCCTGCAGTGGACAGCTAATGCTTCTCATCAGTCCTCCCTGAAAATATGCCTCTCTGGAAAACGGCTGAAAGGGCTGCCTTGCTGCTCTTTGCTATGTAGGCACACGCTTACAATAAAGCATCTAACTCCTTGCCTGACGCTGCCTCTGGATCGGGTAGTACTGACGGGCGCTCTGGAGAAGTTTATCTGGCTTTCTGCAGAGATGGCCAGGCACTGTAGAAGGAGCAGACAAGCCCACCTTGCCCAGTGGTACAGGAGAGTGGCACGGGTCAGGGGGAGGGATTCGCCACTGACATAAACTGGTGCAGCTTCACTGGCTTCCATAGAACTGGTTGCATCAGCTGTGACTATCCACACTGATTTACATTTCTTATGAATCAACTCCTACAATGAACACAGCTTATCTGCCCTTTTTGTAGAGATAACACTCAATTTGCCCCTTCAGAAAAGTCTGCATGAATAACAGGCAGTTAAATGTAATAGGACGAACAAGAACTAAAACCCAGGAAAAACTCTTCACTAAGCATATTCTGTTCACAGATAATCAAATCGAAGCACTACAATCTCCTGTCATCATCTCAGCCACTAGACTTCAGTTCCTGGAAAACGTCTTTGTAATATTCAACTATGGACTTCAACTTGAACTTTGAATACAAGTCAAAGTTAGACATTAAGCCTGAAGACAAATCAGGCCACCCAGACAATTTCTTAAGTCAGACCCCATTACTCATCCTGTACTTAAAAGAAGTAAAAAAAAAGTAGAGCACTGAAAATTAGTAGTAGCTAAGTCAATGCACACTCCCTAGCCAATTCTCCTTCCCTGAGCAGAATAAGCAGGGTATTTATGAACCAGTGCTTTCAGTTTAATTTGGGAAAAGTCAGGCGGCTCAGGTTGGCTTAAGGAAAAAAAATAAGCACAGCTAATTTTATAAAGAAAACTAGCAACAAAAGAGAAACCCCACCTAAAAAGAATGCCAGGCCTCCAGCCCTTGATCAGCACTAATGGCCGCATAAAGTCAGGTGCGACTGCTATTTGCTATGAAATACATCAATATCATGTGACAGCAAAATAGGAGGGGACCATGCCAGTGAGAAAGGCTCAGCATCCGAGAGCAGCCAGAGCAGCTGTAGCAATCTCTGGAGCTTTTCCTTACCATACACATTACAGGTCACCCCTAATCCTCTTCCCCTGGCGTCAGTACAAAGAGATTCCCTAAATGAAATAATCCACCATCGGATAAGCTGCTTATTTTCTCCTACCGTCCGCATATAGCTCTACCACAAAAAACACACTTCAGTTGGAAACTAAGGCAATGTGTATCGATAGACTACACTGACTCAAGCAAATACCCGCCAACATCAGCGTTTGATGACTCCATGCCTTCCCTTGCCTCTCCGGGCGCTCGCTGACTCACGAGATCAAAAGGAACAGATGATCCAGGGGCACATTCTGAAGGTGGCAAGTACCAGACCTACATGCGGGACCCCTACAAAAATAAACTCTGATGGCCAGTACCCAACGTGTTGTAGGCTCCTTAAAGGAGCCAGCTCCTCCCAAACTGCTGGACATTTCATCCTCTTGCACAGAGCCATAAAGAAGGGAAGAGAAAAATCAAAGTAGTGCTATGCTTGTCCCAAAAGCTCTGGCTGGTATATGTCAGGGCAACACTCAACAGAATTAAAAATGACGAAATTGCCCAGGGTCACAGATTGCCAATTCCTGCCCACACAGTACCATAGCAAGATGTAATGCAGACAAAGAGTGCTAAGCTTCAATGGGTTGAGAATTGTCCTTCCCCCCCACCCTGCCCAGTTACAACTTCAGCATCCCATATCCTGTCCTTCTAAATGTTTTGATAATTTCAAACATTCCCAGAAAATATACTACAAACATACCAGAAGCCTAAAAGAAGTCTCTCCAGCTATGTTTCTTCCTAACTGGCCATTCCTAGAAGGTACCTCCAAGGAATGGCTACATATCACAACATCATCCCCAGACTTTGAAACCAAAAATGGAGAGAAGGACCAAGAGAAGGACCTACCCCCTAACTTGGTTGGACTAACCAGCTAGATCTTTCCCCTGCCTAAAGTTTCTAGTTCAACGTCTCTATCCAAAGGATGAAAAGGCGTCACCTCCTGGGTGGCATGCTAAGCACTCTGGACGTTCACCAATCTGACTTCCAGGGGCAAGGATGTCAGACTTGGACAACTTGTGAGCAGCTATTTCTAGCTCTTCTCCTCCGCTTTGTCAGAGGCCAGGCTCACAGCAAAGCTACTCCCAAAGTACTCAAAGCAGGATGTTAAAAGAGATGACTCAACTTCTGTTCCTCATAGTAAGCTATATATAAGAGGCTAGTTACCACCACACTTTCAAACCTCGGTTTAAAACAGAGGTGGAAATATTGAGAAAAATCACAGTTGACCCTTGATAATCACCACGACATGCCAGGGGAATCAGCACTTACAATAAGCCCCCACTGCCAAAAAGCCAACACCCTTAGCGAAACAGATCCATCTTCCTTCCTCGCTGCCAACCCCACTGGGGCCTGGCGCTTTCCTGC